CCGGCATGTCCGAGGGACTCCACACGAACATATCGACATTCGTGCAGAGAAAGTCGACGAGCACGGCTTCCTATTTGCCATCGAGGGTGGCGCTGACCTTCAACATTCGGCCATTGGAGCAGTTGGGGTCGACTGGGATGAGCTTGACGGTCTCTGCGGGCTCGAAAGTCCCAGCACGGTGCTTGGAGTCGGGCACTTCACTACCGAGTTGGTCGAGGTTGACGATGAGGGCCTTGGCCTCCTTGATAGCCTCGGCGTACTCGATGCATTCGACGTCGCAGTCGTATGCATGCTCGCACGTGGACTCGACGGTGATGACGCCGTTGGGGCCCGGCATTTTGAGCTTGAGGTGGTGTAGTTCGGGACCGCCATGAACTTGGCGTAGCACGGGCGCCCCAGGATAGCGTGGTAGGTCCCCTTGAATCCAACCACCTCGAAGGTGAGGATCTCCTTGCGGTAGTTGGAGGGAGTGCCAAAATAGACCGGCAAGTCGATGCGCCCGAGGGGTCGTCGTGCGCTTCCCCGGCACGACGCCGTGGAAGGGTGCGGCACCACCTCGGAGCCGTGACTGATCGAGCTCTAGGAGCTCCATGGTGTTGGCATAGAGGATGTTGAGGCCGCTACCTCCATCCATCAGTACCTTGGTGAGCCGGGTGTTGCCGATGATCGGATTGACGATGAGCGGGTACTGTCTGGGGTTTGGGACATAGTTGGGGTGGTCCTCCCGATCGAAGGTGATCGCCTCTTGAGACCAGTTAAGGTACTGGGGAGTAGCTACCTCAACCGAGAAGACCTCTAGGCGTTCCCTCTTTCATTGATGCGCCGTGAGGCACGCTGAAGGCCCGCCGAAGATCATGAAGGCATTGTGCACCTCGGGGAACCCGTCGTCCTTGTCATTGTCTCCGTCGCCGGTGCCCTTCTTCCTAGCGTCGTCGTTGGGAAGCCTGAGCTTGGTGTAGTAACATCGAAGCATGGTGCATTCTTCGAGGGTGTGCTTTACCGGGCCCTGGTGGTAAGGGCAGGGCTTTTTGAGCATGTCGTTGAATATTCCGGGGCCCCTGACGGGGCCTCGTGGGTTCTTGCGATCAGCAGCTGCGACGAAATTGACCTCGAGGGCCTCTGTCTTCCCTGGGCGCCCCTTTTTCTTTTTCTTCGAGAAACAGGAGGCCGAGGCCCCGAGGGTCTCGTCCCTCCGCTTCCCCATTGCGTCGCTGTCGGGGAAGATGGCCCCGATAGCCTCTTCACCCGAGGTGAAGTTGGTGGCGATGTTGAGGAGTGCGGTCGCTGAGGTTGGTACGTTCCGGCCTAACTCTCGGACCAGGTCATGGTAGGAGGTGCCGGAGAGAAAAGCCTGGACAACTTCCGAGTCACCGACGCTGGACAACTCGGTGCACTGCTTGGAGAATCACCGGATGAAGTCTCGGAGAGACTCGTTCGGCTTCTTGCGACAACTCTTGAGGTCCCAGGAGTTCCCGGGGCGCACGTACGTGCCCTGGAAATTCCCGACGAAGATCTTTACCAAGTCGCGCCAGTTGTGGATCTGCATGGGCGGGAGGTGTTCGAGCCAAGCTCGCGCTGAGTCTGACAGGAACAAGGGGAGGTTGCGGATGATAAGCAGGTCATCGTTCGCGCCGCCTAGCTGACAAGCCAGGCGGTAATCGACCAGCCACAATTCGGGGTTGGTCTCGCCGCTGTATTTCGCGAGGTTGGCCGGTTGTCAAAACCGGGCGGGGAATGGGGCGCCGCGGATGGCCTTACTAAAGACTCGAGGGCTAGGTAGCCCAGGAAAAGGACTGCGGTCCTCGCCACTGTCGTAGCGGCCGCCTCGATGCGGGTGGTAGCCTCGGGCGGGCCCATCGTCATCGTGGCGTCGTCGCCTGCTGACCACATCGTGGTCGTCTGGCGCCTCGCGTCGATCGCTGAGGCGGTCGTGAACTGAGGGGGCCTTGAGGCGATCGTGCACCGAGGGCCGTTTTGAGGTGTCCTCACGCCGTCGAGACGTGGAGCTTTCGACCTGCTGTACTGCGGCGGTCTCGAGAAGGTCTCGGAGCTCGCCGCGAACCCGTCGCCCCTCCATGGTAGAGGGCTCGAGCATCGCTCGGACTAGCATCACCGCTGCCGCGATGTTCTGGCTAGCGCGATTGAAGATTGGGGGTTGCTCACTTCCTTTGTTGTTGTTGATGCGGCGGTGCACGTCGTGGGCCCTTCGCCGGGCCCTTCCGCCATCACCGCGACCTCGCTACTCCCGCTCAAGAGTGTCTCGAAGCTGCTATAGCAGGAGTCGGTCTTGGTCGACTTTTGCCTAGAGCTCACGGAGCTGCTCTAGGTCTAGGCGTCGGAGTTCCTCGGGGGCGGCGTTCACGTTCCGTGCCGCCCGAAGCTCGATGAGCGGGGGTGTGGCGTCGCCCGCCCCTTGGCGGAGCGGGGAGCGGTTGCCTGCCCCTTCACTCTTACTACTTGCCCCTGGCATTCCGAGCCCGATGTGGAAACACTCTCGAGTGGGATCGTAAGTGCCTTCGTCATCGGAGTCGGAGTGGCCGGGCGAGAGTCGCTATGCCAAGAAGCGACGCATAGCCTCGTGGTCGCTGGGCCCGGAGAAGTCTCGCTCGCCCACGCCTGCTCCTCCTCCTCCTCAGAGTCGGTGTGGGTGTGGGTCGAGGTTGTGGTGGAGAAGTCAAGGCGAATCGTTGGTGGCGTCCCGAGGGCTCCGCGTCTTGTTGAGGCGTAGGCGAAAGCGTGGTGGCGCGATGTTGTTCAGCCGAAGGATACAGGATGTTGCCACCACTGGGTCCACTCCGCTGAGTCGATTCCTCGGATGTGGCGGGCGAGCTTGACGACGGACGCGTCGCTGCGCTTCTGGGTGTCTTTCCCCCTGCCAGCTTTAAGCTAGACAGGTCCCTAGCCAGGGACTCTGTACCAACGTCCGGGCATGGGATGCCGGTGAAGTGTGGCGCGCCGCCCTGAGCTCGTGCGGTGTCGGGGCAGTCCCGCTCGCGTCGTGCCTGGCGAGCGCGACGAGAGCGGCGGCCCAGGCGCCACCTGCGCCCGGGCTGCGGATGCGTGACGTCGTCGTTGGCTGGTGGGGCTCTGGGTGCGAGGAGTACCATATCGTACCCACATCCTAGAGACATGAACTCTAGGCTCCCAAACCAGACCACCGTGCCGAGACATAGTGGGCGTATGGGGTCAGTCATTCGGAACTTGTTGGGACGATCAAGCTAACACGCAGATTCCTCTACCTGGCGCGCCAGCTGTCGGTGTTTCGGACCGGGGGGTCCTCAACCAACTAGTAAATGTGAACTGCGTGCCCCTAATCCCCGGATGGTGATGCAAAGAGACACAAGGTTTATACTGGTTTAGGCAATTGGTGCCCTACGTCCAGTCTGAGAGATCGATCTTGTATTCCTTGCACCGAAGTGCTTGTAGTATGGGGTTACAAACTGGGTGAGAGAGGGAGCTAGTCCTAGGTCTCGGCGTGGAACGGTGTGGGCTGCTTGAGACGTTGCTCTCAGGCAGCTTGGGAGAGTGTATGTCTATGTGAGCCTATCTCCGTGAGCTCATGAGTGCCTCCCTTAAGAACGACCCCGGTCTCCCCTTTTATAGTTGAAGGAGCGATAGGGGTGATACATGTGTTCGCCATGCGGCGAGCGGAGGTGGCGTGCTGGAGTCCTGTAGCTTACTACCAGTGGCGACATGGTCAGCAGAGTGGTCTTGTCCTTGATGTCTTTTGCAACAACGCCGGTCACACCCGATTTCGTATGACGTGGGCGCTCCAGTGATAGCTTGACGCAGGGTATGGCCGATGGTGTGCTTTGGTCGCTATGGGTTGACGGTGAAAAGAGCCGAGGCTCGATTGGTGCCGAGGCCGAGCCATCGTGGGGGGCTTCGGTGGTAGCGAATCCCGAGGCCGCGAGAGACACGGAAGTGGATTGTCGAGGCCTTGGAGGGAGCGATTGGTCTCATGCACCGATTCCGAGGCTACTGATGACCCATGCACTCGCTTCCCCACGCCGTCTTCGCTCCTAGAGCAGAAATTAGGTAGCATACAGTCAAGACGGGCGCCGAGCATGGGTGCGATCTTGAGCACAATGGCCGAGAACCCTGTTTGCCCTGTCTCATGTCCCGTCGGTCACCATGTTGTCTCTAGCGCCCGTCTGGTGGCGTCGCCGCAGGAGTGGTTGGACGCGTGACATTTTGTCAAAGAAGTCGGTCGAGGTAGAGGCGACGAGGTTGTTGCGAAGAGCCGGGCCTCGGCGAAGTCGAAGAATCGGTATTTCGTCCGAGGCTTCACTCATGGGACCCTCGACGAATCGGAGAATCGGTAACCCGTCCGAGGCCTTGCGGAGCGGGGCCTCGGCACGAGAGGGCCTCGGCGAGGCGGAGAGTCGTTGCGACGCGTGCTTCTGGTGAGTCGGAGAATTGGCCGAGACCCTGTGATTGTCCTTTGGCTTTGATATTTGCGAGGTTTTAAGTAATCTTTTCGGTTCTTGCTTAGGTATCTCTTTTTATGTTATCCGACGGAGGGATTAACAAGTACAAAGTACAAACATAGATTATAATAATGAGCAAAAGTGATACTTGCCACTTCTTTTGCCCTTCTTTGACTGTTGCGCCCTTCTCCCTTTTTAAGTTGCCTGTTGCTTCTGTTTGGTCAGGGACAATGCATTGCTAAGATAAGATGTCAATCTATGAAATTCCAGAGAAGACAAGAATGACTCTTTGTTTTTTTAGAACAGGGAAGCATGGAACTTAGTAATTTGTACAAAGAAAAGCATGATGGATACAAGCATGATATGATAAAGTAACTGCATCTCTGACGGACTGCTTCACCTATGCACATGACGAACCTGAGGTAGCCGAGCAGGGCTCTGCGTGCTCCACCTCTTCCAAGGAGACGAGGTGGTGGTGGTGGATGAATCGTTAGGCGCCTCAAGCACGGACACCGGGCTCGAGTTGTGCTGCGCGTCGCACTCCGCAGCCGGCATCCTGACGCGGCCCGCCTACTCTGCTTCATTCTCGGCGAACCGTAGCCTGCGGCCGCGCCCGTTCCTCCTCTGCTTAATCCTAGCCACGGCCAACCTCACCCTTTCGTCGCGCCTCGTGGCCTCCGCGGCGGCGAGCAGGAAGTCGAGCTCCCGGTCCGGGTCCGGGTCCTCGGGGCTGAAGCTGAGGAGCAGGAGTCGCTCTCGTGCCCTCAGGTACGCCGGCCTCTCCCGCAGCGACGCGATGGCGGCTTGCACGAGATCGGAGACCGTGTGCGTCTAGGAGAGAGACGTTGATGTAGCCGTGAGGGGGTTCGAGAAAGATGAAAGTCGCGTTGATTGCGGATGTTGTGCCTGCGTCGGGGGAGGGGCGCTGATTCGGCGGGGATGGGAAAGGTGTGGGGGATGCGGGGACCGACCAACCTGCGGGAAGAGACGGCGATGAAGATGAGCGCAAGGCCTGCGGCGCCCGTGACCCCGATGGCAACGGCGGTGTTCCAGCGACCGCCACCGGTGAGGGGGCCGCCGAGGAGACCCGCGGCCACGCGCTCGACGCAGCCCTATGCCCACATAGGCTGTAGATGTCCGCCGCATCGCTACATTTTTTCGGTGAAAAAAAAGAATCACAGGTGCCGGAGGTCGAACCCGTCCTCGAACAGCAGCGTGCAGCGGTGCGACGGCAGTTTGACGGAGCGTCAGGGCGAGCGGCCACCGCGAAGATGGAAATATTTTTCCAAAGGAAGCTTTTTTCCGTTTATTTGGGGATTCGATCTTGGTTCGTTAATTGCGGACGCCGTGTAGGGGGTGTGGGGTGAGAAGCCTGACGCAGGGGGTGAGAAGCCTGGCATGCCACGTCAAAGATCGGTCGTTGGATGGATTTTGGTGTTTTATTGGTCCTTGATTTTAGCGAAGATGAATTTTTGTGTATATTTTTTCTAGGTACATAATGGTTGAAGATTTTCAGTGGGGATATTTTCCTGTAGGGACCTAGTATAATTTTGATTGATATGCAGAAACAGTTTCAAGTCTGCCAGGGGCCACTGAAGAAGCACTTGACACAAAAACATGCTGATGACCCTTTTCCCTTTATTTATTTACAAAAGCAACAATAACCTTTTCTTTCATTCTTTTTTAATCCGGGAACCTACACTGAAGTCTGAAGTGCTTCTGCTTGAAAATTGCGGCCACAACATCTTCAGTTTTACATAGTTTTTACTGACAGACGTCTGCTGGTAGTTGCAGCAAGTACCCCCAAATTTCAGAGTAAAGAGTAACAGCACCAAGGTTTGGTTTGATCCCGGAAGGTTCGATGCTCCCAGCAACTGAACGACTGCGAAGCTGATAGGGTCCCCGCCCGGAAAACGCAGGGATTCAGGTACGTCGGCATCGCTTGCAATTGCAAGTTTCCCGGCCATGGTCCACTTTGGATCCCCGTCCGGAGTAATGCAGCAGCAACCAGGAGTCCAGGACGACGCAAGGCCCATGCCTTGCCAACGTGCAGGAAGCATGGGTTGGTACCAGCATTTCCTTTTCTGGGACATGGCCTACAGCTAGTTGTTGGACGGGAAGCGTTACGGACAAAGCAGGAGATGACGAGATCTGGCGATCTGCATCTGCTGCCACTAGCGGTAGTGAATCCCAGCTGCCGGCACGACCCCGTCTACCAGACAGCCTGCCGTCTAAAGACCGCTGGGAATGCCGAGACGAGGCCGTCCGCAATCATCAAGGACCCCCATCTGATGAGCACATGCTCGCACCTTCCCTCCGTACCAATACCAATTGGTTCATCAGAAATAAGAAGCCACAACTAGAGCCACTGCCTGCGAATCAATGGGACTCCTTGTGGTAACTTGCTCATCCAACATCCAGGTTTTCTGGCTAATTATTACTTAGTGGCAAACGACACTGCTAGATAGCTATAGTGACTGTCAATCAATCAAAGATCTTAAAGACAGTTTATAGCAGTACAGTGCTTGCATTCGTTCATAAAAGTGCAAATGCTAATAATGATGGTAAGCTTCAGTACGTCTTTTAGAAGTTCCAAACAAAGACAGTCATCCAAACATGTAAAAATGGAATGAACCCTCCAAAGAGCGCAGATGTTTCCATTTTCCACCAGTAGCATACCATGCAAAAAAAATGGGAGCACATAATAACGCAACAGCTTGCTATCCAGATAAACAGCCTACACCACCCGCCCACAGACCTACTAATTACTATCCTGATAAACAGACTAGGACACCCGCAGGGATGCTTTCTCCGACGCAGTGCATACAAAAATAACCATCAGAACAAGAACAGCTCAACTCCAGAGAGTTGTCTATTGGCAGCATCACAAGTCAATGAATTAAGGGTCATCATATGGATCATGGATGGATGTATCTCCGTGCGGAGTGGTGACTAGTACAACTGGACTCCATTCAACGACAAACAAATAAATCAATAACTTAGTCCTATTAGCACCAAAAGGCAATTTCAAAGAAACCAAAAGAAAGATGGACAAAACTAGGACACCAACACTACAACTAATCTCTATTCGATGATTAAGTATGGTACAAAACAGGTGTCAGTAAAAAGTTACCAAAAATCTATTGTCACATCAGAACATTTATAGTCCGTAATCATTTGGATGCCCATATACAAAAATGCCACAACTTGTCTGCGCACATTGGGGGCTTTAGCTTACTAGTGGCGGACTGAATAGCATCAGTGTTCAACAGAGATAGAAATCATTCCCTCTTTTCTGGTTTCTGGACCTTGACATAAGGCAAGAATCCAAGAAGATGTGTTATCCGCGGCTCCCACCCACGTTGCTGAGCCCGACAAAACATTAGGAACGTGTTTGCATAGTATGAGTTGAGGCCCATAAGCACATGCCACCATGCGTGCCCCTGCGGGTTGACGTACCAATGCGAAAGCTTCTTACAGAAGATGCGATCAACTAGCCAGCAGAGAGTCCCAAGGGTTAATGTAAGAACCCACAGCTTTGCAAGCCGCTTCGCAGTCACGTCTTTCGTCTGTATGTAGTACTTGTACATCCGGGGGATGCAGAGGAAGCAGAGGCCAATGTAATGCAACTTGAATACAACTTGGAACCGGGCAAAGAAATGAACTACAGCAAAGGCAGCACCATATAGGAAAAGGAAAGTTGGCATCGTGCTCCTGTAATGCCAGTCCGGTGAATAAAGGACATACATATAAAGGAGGATCTCCCAAACCATCGGAGTCTCATCACTCTGTTGTAGACTGGAAAACAGAACGTCGACAAAGCAGCATGTTACCAAAAAAGAATATGTTGCACAAAATAGAGTAAACATTATGGAAATTAACTACTAGATGACTAAACAGGTCACAGAGGTAGGAAGTTTATGAAAACATCCAACAGTGAGCAGTATACTAAAAGTACAGTGCCCCCCCCCCCAAACACACACGCACCCACAAAAGGTGATGAGCCGGCAAATTACAACCCTGCACACTCCTAAAAGGCAGAGAAACCCTTGAGTTTTGAGTATGGATTCTAGTCCTCGTTTCAGGCAGGCAATATAAAGTTAAACAGATGCACCCCAATTTCAAATGAGTTCTCCATGCTGAGTTTAGTATATGGCAAAGGTCAAAATTAACCATTGTTACTTGTTAGTGGTTTTTTGTCATTCGATACACTCAATGATTGGTCAGGCTGAAGCTGCCAGTTCATCCATCATAAGAGATGACTAGATTACAACTTAGTTTTTTTCATGAAACTGTTGATGAAGATTGATTAGAAGCAGATACAACAAAATAGAACAAAAGCTTTCAACAAATTCGGTAGACAAATGCTGAGATTTATCAATAGACATCAGAACAGAGAGAATTTTGGGCATCACAATCACAACATATGCAAATCGGTGTGTTGGTCAGCAAGTGCATCAATATATTGCCAAAAATGGAAACATATGTGCCAAAATGGAACACAAAATTTATGCATTTGAGGTAGTTTCTGCAGGCATGTGCATGCAAAGTGTATTTGGTGCGTCCAGGGAGCCATTAACATAAGAGGTAGATCAGGAACCATTTTTTGCACAAAATGAACCCAAGAATCCGAAACGGAAAAAATAAACAACATAACACAAGAAAGAATACTGAACATCTAAGCAATATACCAAAGTTTTACAGACAATTTCAACCATCTTTGTTTGTGAGCTAGAATTTTTGTACAGGAGAGCTATGATTTCAGGGTTTAGAGTGGAAATAAATTCTTGTGCATGCTACTGCTGAAAGACCTGTGCCAGAAGTTGACACACTACTCTAGCGCATGGACTCATGTCAATCAAGACATTATGAAGAAAAACACTCCTGAGAAAGCTTGTGCAGCAACAGAATTGTTGTAAGCTGTGACTTTTTTTGCACAAAAATAGAAGGCCAGTGCAAACGCTACATCCTGAGCCCACTGTGCAGCGCCCAATGCACGTGAAGACTGTGCAATGAAATTTTTTTATATATAAAAAACTATGAACCATTGGAGCAGTTCCATATCTATAATTCTACAGAGAAAAGCAAAAAGATGAATACTCAAGAAAGATAAATAATGCAGATGTTCTTGATGAAGCATCAAATCTAGAAGCAATAAATTAGAAATCTCCTTACAGTTAATGGCTAACACACTTTTATTTTATAACAGATGAACAGCTCATCTTCTGTGCACTTTTATACGCAAAACGGCTAGATGGAGAAATAATTTCCAGTCTTATGCCAATGGCCCTTTCCCAAAATGGTATCGACAGTTCTAACTTTAATACGTACATACCCCCTCCAGTCAAAAAATACTTGTCACATTTGACTAATGGTCTTTGATGCATATCTTTGACTTCTAGAGTATATTCGTAAAATCCTTCAAAATTATGAGAATTTGCAAGTATTTTTTTAATATGAATTACATGTTTCCAAACTCAATAATTCAAAAATTATTCATGTTTGTAATTTTTACTAAGGTTTGACCAAATCTTGACTTAACCGACATGTTTTTGTGGCCGGAGGGAGTAGAGAAAAACATATAGGTAATTAATTAATAACGTATAACACCAAGAGAAGGTATACCATGGCAAACAAACAACACAAGAATACAATGCACAAGGCCATTCCATAATGTCCTGAACTCGATCAAGTGCATTGGAGAAAAGAATAAGCTCTAGTTATAACAGTTTCTCAAGTAGGTACCAGTAATCACAATGTTAAAAGTGACATTTCACATAAACATAAAGAAGTTTCAATTTAAGAGAAAACTTACAGAAGTTGCAAGGTGGCATGGAAAATCATACTCCCAATAGCAAGTATCATATTGGATATGTGAAGGACACTGAACCGTTTCTCAAAACCTTGGCGGAAAGCATTCACTAATCCAATAAGCGCCAAAAGAACGCATGGGACATTAGAGATGGTATTGTAGAATTCTGCGATATATGATGAGTGTGCATAATTCTCCTCGCACAACTCAGTCGTTGATGTAACAGGCCCCCAGAAGCTCGCTACCATTGAATCCGCCATCCTTAGCTCTTGATTTGCTAACCTAGCAACAGCCTATGTCACCAGAGTTGGAGGTCAATGTGGCTGGTGCTAAATCATAAGTGCACCAAAGAAATAATCTGCAAGGATGATATACAAATCAGGGTTCCAAAAAGCGGCACTAAGCGACGGGTAGCGCTTCGCTATGGAGTACAAGCACTCCGAAAGCGGCGCGACCGCCTTGGTGGAGCAGCGGCTGCTGGCTCCCGCTGCCCGCCGGCCGTGCGCGGCGCGCAGGGCAGCCGCAGGGGTCGGGCGCCGTCGACGGTCCAGCGGGAGGCGGAAGGGGAGAGGGAGGTGCGTACGCAGGGTCGCCGGCCGGTGTGCGGAGGACGGAGGCGGAGCCACTGACGCCGCCGCCGAGCCTGGGACTGCCCCGCCGTCGCTGAGAGCCCGAGCCTGAGCGCCGCCTCCGTCGCCGGCGCTGCGAGAAGATGAAGAAACGGCGGCGGATGTCCTTAGCTGGAGCAGTGTGTTAGGGTAAAGAAACGTATGGGTGTGGCGAGATGTGGGTTTGGGCTGAATTAATGGGCTTTTGGATGGGCCACTAAATAAAAGCCCAAATCATCATTTTCCCTTTCCTTTTTCATTTCTTTTTTTTCTTTTAACATCTTTTGACAAATCAACACACAATCTGTATCCATATTTATCTGCAATTTTATGAAGCCACATCAACCTCCAGTACCTTCTATTGATCCCCATGTATTTGTAATTAAATTCCATACTCCACCAGAAGACATCTGATTTTAAACCTGGATTGATGTTCATTGGGCTTCCTAGCCTCCTGTCACGGTTCCGCTAGGAATCGGACAAATAGCTTCATAATTGGAGATTTAGGGAGAGAACCAGGATTGGGGATGAAGAACAGAGACAAATTTCATTGAGGTTTTAGAGTTTCAGTTCTTCGCTACAAGACACAACGACCTCAAGCGTTATATGCCAACATGATTCCTACCATAGCGGCACTTAACTCACCGCAACTCACACCACTACGGCTTAGCTGTCACCGTTAACCCACCTTGACCGACGATGTTTGCTCTGTTGCCAAATGCGCAATAGCACTCCTGATCCTTCTTGCCTTCTCCTTGGTGGCCTTGATATTGCCCCTCCCTCGAAAAGCTGCTTGTCCCCAAGCACACTGGATGGAAGTCGTCGCTGGAGATCATGAGCTTCCTCCCACGTTGTCAAGGTTGGTGAGTGATCAGACCACTGCACCTGAAGCCAGAAAATGGATGGACTGGACAACCGTGGAAGGATCATCTGGAACCAAAGTGATATCATCTTCCCCCTACATTGAAGGAGGGATATGCTGCTTCAACTGGGACGCATGGACTACATGATGAATGTGACTTACATCAGGTAACTGTAGATGGTATGCCACAGCGTCACCTTGGATTGGGAGATTGTTTTGTGAACTCTTGGAGATGCTCTAAGGTGATTCTACTATGCAGCTAATGCTTACCTTGTAATGTCTTCCTTTCTTATCCTGAGAAGGGTTTCATATAAGGCTCAATTATGGGGTCCTAACCTTGATACCTAAGATCAATGAGGCCAACACTATTAAACAATATAAACCAATCTACTTACTAAATGTGAAATACAAATGTTTCACCAAGGTCATGACTAATATGTTAGTCCCTGTTGCCAAGAAAATCATTGGAAATAACCAAACTAGGTTTATTAAAGGCAGAAACATTCTTGGAGGTGTTGTGGTCTTGCATGATGTCCTACATGAATTGCATAGATCAAACGCAGGGGCCTGATCCTAAAAATTGATTTTGAAAAAACCTATAATAGAGTGAGATGGGATTTTTTGGAACAAGTGATGGTGGGCAAAGGGTTCCCCCAGACTTGGATTTCATGGGTCATGAAAACTATCAAGGAAGGAAGGGTGTGTATTAATGTGAATGGAGAAAAAAACTCATATTTTAGGACCTATAGGGGTTTGAGGCAAGGGGATCCTCTCCCCTTCCTCTCTTTAATCTTGTTGTTGATGTATTAGGGGTTATGCTGCAAACAGCAATCAATAAAGGGCATATCAAAGGCGTTTTGACTGAGCTGATTCCTAGGGGTATTTCACATATCCAATATGCTAATGATATAGTGATCATGATAGAAGCCTCAAACCTTTCCATTAGAAACCTCAAACGTATTTTGTATTGTTTTGAGTGTCTCACTGGACTCAAGATTAATTTCCATAAGAGTGAGGTGTATGTGTTTGGAGTGTCTCAAGTAGAACAGGAGAGATTGGGTAACATGCTTAACAGTGCTTTGGGAAGCTTTCCAATGAAATATCTAGGGATCCCTATTAGCTATAAGCATTTAAGCATGGGTGCTTTCCTTCCTGTGACTCAGAAGATGAAGAAGAGACTGGATCCCTAGAGAGGGAATTTTTTTACTTCTAGAGGTAGACAGATCATGACTAATTCCTGTCTCACCAGCATAACCCTATGCTGCATGGGCTTTTACCTGCTCAAAGATGGGGTCCATAAGACAATGGATAACATTAGCGCCAAATTTCTTTGGCAAGGGGCTGAAGAAAAGTTCAGTTACCATATGGCCAAGTGGGAGATGGTTAGTAGACCCAAAGACCAAGGAGGTTTGGGGATTATCAACACCAAAATAATGAATGAAAGTTTGATAGTCAAATGGATTTGGAAATTTTTCTAAGAGCCTAATGAGCTTTGGTTCCACGTTCTTAAGGCTAAAATATGAGGGATAATGGCTTCTTTGATTCAAGAGTGACCGGGGGTCACAATTCTAGAAAGGCCTTCATAAGGTGAAGCACTTGTTCAAATGGGAGGCTAAATCTCGAGCTTCGACACCTTAACTGCAATGGCATCCTCTAACTTGTGATGTTTATTACGCTCTGTGATGTGTATTTGGGGATTGAGCCCCACTTGGAAGCATTTCTTCCATGTCAATATTATGGTGGATCAGTACAGGATTGTCTCCGTTGTCTCTGGGGTCGTTATTCAGCCATGCGTGGGAAAGGGAAGGACTACATCAAGATGCCCTTGGTCACCCCGAAAAACGGATGGCATAAGAGGTGGTTCTACCTTAAAGAACAAGGATATCCTACCTGTCTTCTTGGGCCACATCCCTGAGAGGATTATTGGGAGTGGGGGACAGATAAGGAGGATACAATAAGATGGGCGTTCTCCTAAGGAGGTCCATAAGCTGCAGGCCAAGAGCGTCACGGGGTTGGCCTCGTCATGACGACATTCTACTCCCTTCGGATCCAGCCGCTTAAAGATCACCAAAACTAGGACACCAACACTCCAACTAATCTCTGTTCGATGATTAAGTATGGTACAAAACAGGTGTCAGTCAAAAGTTACCAAAATCTACTGTGACATCAGAACATTTATAGTCTGTAATCATTTGGATGCCCATATACAAAAATGCCACAACTTGTCTGCGCACATTGGGGGCATTAGTTTACTGGTGGCGGACTGAATAGCATCAATGTTCAACGGAGACAAATCATTCCCTCTTTTCTGGTTTCTGGACCTTGACATAAGGCAAAAATCCAAGAAGGTGTGTGATCCGTGGCACCCACGTTGTTGAGCCTGACAGAACATTAGGAATGTGTTTGTATAGTATGAGTTAAGGCCCATAAGCACATGCCACCATGAGTGCCCCCTGCGGGTTGACACACCAATGTGAAAACTTCTTACAGAAGATGCGATCAACTAGCTAGCAGAGAGTCCCAAGGGTTAATGTAAGAACCCACAGCTTTGCAAGCCGCTTTGCCGCCATGTCTTTCGTCTATATGTAGTACTTGACCAAATCTATACTTATACCTATAATGTATAATAATAACTAGCAAACATGCTCGTATGTTGCAACGAAAATCAATATGCTTACAATGAAACTGCAGGTTGTTCGAAATCATACGAATACAAGTAGGGTTCATGAGCATATGTCACATACGGTACATACGGTGCAACAACAGCTTGAGAAGAAAAAAATAGGATGGAAGAATTCCTTAACTCTTTAATATGAGGTATATATTAGAACGCAATAAACAAATTCATGTGGAAAAAAACTTTGAAATATACAAAATCAGACCCAAAGGCAAATGGTGATTGGAATATTTGGGTGGAAGAAACTAAAAAAAATACAAAATTAGACCCAAGCGACCGACCGGTAACAGGGAAATGGAAAAAGAAAAATCAGAGCGGGTTAAAAAAATGGAACAAAAATCGGATTAGATGTGCTGCAAAAAGAATTAAAGAAAGGAAAAGCTAACTCGAGTGAAAAAAGAATAGGAAAAGGGAACAGCCGCATAGAAAAAAGAATAAATACGGACTCAGTCACGGACTCCTTGGTTCCACTCGTGCGCCGCGTAGGAAAGAGAAGAGTCTCCCACAACTAAAAAGACTAAAGAGGAGACACCGTTTTGGTGCGACAAAAACTTTGCCTCACCTTTGCTTTACTCGTGCGAAAAAAATCCCACCCCGATGATCTGCCCGCCCGTGCGATCTCTTATCCTCTCCTGTCGGTCTGCTGCTGCGTGCGATTTCTTTCCAAAACAAACCACATCACGCGCTCCACTCCGTCCTCTCCCACCGCCGCCACCCCAGCCCCCGCAGCGCCTCCCCTCCCCTCCCACGACGCCTCAAACGACAGCGGCGACGATCCCCGCCGCCACACACCACTTGCACCGCCTCGCCGGCGACCTCTGGGGTGGCCTGGCTGGGGACACGCCTCCCCTGACCACGAGCGCAATTGCCACGGTGACACTAGCCGGCTGCTCGTGAGGGTGCGATTCAAGTCCGACGCCGGCGACCAGCACCCACCAGGTATCGCGCCGCATCCTGCACTCCCTGATGTGCGAAACTGAGCACCTGAACCCTAACTTAATCAATCTGGGTATGTATTCAGATCTCATCTAATTACAATTTATTGTATGTAGTATGTCTAAGAAATGCGTTTTTTGCTAAAGTTGATGTGCTTTACTGGGTCCACCGCTGCTC